AAGCTTGAAAAGAGTGTCAAACTTGAAAAAACGTTTTGAATGATTACCTAGGTTTCGTCTTGTCCATTTTTAGGTACTGCACTCATATGATTGCATATTAGTTCTTTGCAAATCTTTATGAAAAAAGTTGAAGTATCTTTTTTCTCAAATGTTTGAGCAGTAATTCAACTAGGTGTGTGTAGTAGTATAAATTCTTTGCTAATATCTCAGCGATAATTCAAAGTAACTTGAATGCGACATCAACATGTTGCAACAGAACTTATTTCTACAAGGTCGTGAGAAACATACACAGGCAGCATATAATTAGCTCAAATATTTAGTATTTAGATGACTACATATGTAGTTACTACGATAGATAATTTAGACTTGTATATGAGTAAGCATACAGATAGATAAATACGAAGATGAATATGTAATTAATTAGGTCAATTCATATATATATATATATACTAAGAAAAAGTTTTAAAAAACTTGAAAGAAGTGATTATACAAAACTCCAAAAGGATTTAGAGATCGATTCATTTCTCGAAATTATTCTCAAGCTTTATATAATACACGATATTCATTTTTATTTAATCGCTTTTCCATTAAATCATCCACCCGTATACGGTTCGATTCGATAAAGTTTGTGTGATACAGAGAGCCACTGAAATTGAGAATATAAAAGTAAGAATGAATGCTTTATTTCTTCGATAAATTACGTTTAATTTTGAAACTGATATCTAATGACATCTATCATAGAGATGTATTCAAATAAAAATTGATTGGTAAATAGATATAGTCGTTCTCTGTGTTTTTTTTTCTTTTCTATAGTGTCTTTTTTCTTCGTCTACTTCTCGTCGTTGTGTTGCTTCCAGTCCTCTTCATTTAATATTTTTTTTTCTTTTTGGCCTTTTTTTTCCTTCTTTCCATCATTCATTTCTTGGACGAGTTGCCATCGACCGTCGTCCTTGGTTCTTCACCTACCCTCTGTCTTTTCTATTTCTTCTTTTTTTTTTCTCTCGTTCGTTCGAATGCACATATTATACGCTCAAATCGACGTTGCTCTATTGCGATCACTTCTTTTTTTTTTTCCTTCTTCTATGCTTCGCACAGTAAGTAAAAGAAAAGAGAGACAGGAAGAAAAAAATCACTACCACTACTACTAACCGAACAATATATGTAGTGCGAAAATGTATGTTGATAGTTGTTTCTGTCTTTTGACAACGTTGTTCTTTACTTTCTCTCTCTTTCGCTCTCGCTTTTTAGTCGTTGAAAAAAGAACACAGAACACTTTTCGTCTATCTTTCTCTTTCTATTAGATAATTCATATAGAGATATTTTTTTCAGACTAATGACCAAGAGAAACGATCAACGTAATACTCCGTCTGGTTGTGGGAGTAGTACAACAATAAACGATGGTATTATTGTTCAACAACAACCTGTTAGTGAACAACAACAACATTTTGTATTATCTCCAGTAAATAATTCAGCACCAATGATTATAACGACTCCACTAGGTAAAATATATTGTTAAAAATTATGTATTTTTATTTTTTTAAATTTTATTTTAGCTGTTCCTTCCATAATCACTCAAAAGCTACCAACAATAACAACAAATAACCAACAACAAACAGTTGCCACTGTGACAACTAATCCTGTTAGTGCAGTTAATACAACAATTCCAAATAAAACAACAACGACAACAACAACAAAATCAACCTCACAAGAACGATTAGTTTGTAGTCTTTGTAATAAAGTCTATCGATCATCAGCTGGCCTCCGATATCATAAACGGAAACGACATCGAGGTACGGAAGTAGAGAAGAAGAAAAAATGCCTATCGATTATGTTATAACTTTTTGCGTTTGGAAATATTTAGATGAAGGTATGCTTAAAGCAGCACAATTGCATCGAGTACGATGTTTAGAAAATGGATGTACCTATCAAATGTTAGCTATATCAGACTTAAGAAATCATCTGGCCAATCATCATTTAAAACCTGAATATAAAACAACTGAAGAAAAAAAATTTAATTCATTTACGGGTAAGAAAAAAATATGTATAAATTTTTATGTTTTTTTTTTCAAATTTAATATAAAGTCATTAGAATTCAATTCTATAGTAGAATTCATTGGGATCTATTTATAGTTATGAAACATCGATAATAGCTTCTCTACATGCCATTTTCTTTATATATATATATATACAACCAATAGATGACAGAATTAATTTAACATATATAATATTCAAATTGTTTGTATTTACGGAAGAGCATTATTCAAATTTCATTATTTTGCCTTGACTTGATTTATATAATGAAAATATTGAACAAAAAAGAATTAATTCTAAGTATAAATGAAATTCTTTTTATTTTATTAATATTAAAATAACACTTTCTAGTCTTTATAATTATTTATTTAATTAGACATGTCTAGGAAATTTGATACGTATTCAGTAGACTATCTTTTTATAAGTACAAAAAAGAATACACTCTTGATTGACTAAAACAAAAAATTCCGACAAATACAATCGTGTATTTTGTGCTTGAAATATAAATATAAAAAAAAACGGGTCGCTTACCTTTTTCTCATTCTTTTGAGTATCAAAAGAATATAGAGCAGAGTTACCTGTACTATTAGTTTTCATTATTCGGGGTCTAAATAAACCTAACCTGCATGCACTCAATTTGTCCATAATAGACTATGAACTTCTTCAACCTGTTCATGTCTATCATCCGTTTTCGTCAATGTATTATACATTCCTGTTGCAGTCTGTTCTTTTTTTATATGCTTAATATTATGATGATAATCGCGTGAAAGCATAGGACTGTTTTTATACGAAGGCAAAGAAACCATATATATATAGTAAAGTGACATGACTACATGAAACATTTATTCATTAAGTAAAGTATATGTGTTGTAAAAAAGAAAAAAGTAAACCTTAACTTATAGAAGAAAACTATATTTGTATCAAAAGGGAGAGAAGAGTAATAGCCTTGAACACTTTTTGCAATATAAATATTTTGAATGATTTAGTTGACGATGACATTTCAAATCCTACTACATGGAGACACTATAAATATGAAACAGGAAACAATTAAAATTAGTCAATAATTCATCTCAAAACAATAAGAATAATTAATTAGAAAGTGTGAAGAGTAGTAATTCAACGAAATAAATAAATAATGTAGTCATCATGTATGATTGTATCCAGCCAAAACTGTTTCTCAACTGCCGATAGAAAATTTATTTGACTCTATTTTGATACCTAGATTTCCTGCTCAAAGAAAAAAAAAGGAAGCGAAGTTTTTATATTGAAAATCTTTGAAAAATCAAATCACCACATGCAAGCATTTTAATCTTAATTATTTATTTGCTTTTTAGAATTTACAGAATGGAAAGCTACTTTTGAACAAAGTAGTGGTTCAAAATATGTAAAAAATTGTGGATCAAAAGGAAAATCTGAGAATCAAACAACAGAATATTATTATTGTAATCGTACAGGATTATGTAAGTAAATCTTTCTTTTTCTTTTCTTTTTTTTTAGAAAATCTTTTTTATTTGCAAAAATTTTCTAGATAAACAAACACGACAAGGATGGCGTCGTAATTCTAAAACACATGATTCTATTCGTTGTGGTATTCATTGTACATCTTCAATGAAAGTTGATATAGCTCGAAATGATCAAATATCCGTACAGTATTATCCAACACATTATGGTCATACAGCTGAACCACCATTACAAGTACCACCATCAGCTAATAATACTAATACAACAATAGGAACAACAAATGGTGAACTAGTTGAACAATCATCTGTCCAAAAACAAACAATTCCGCCCATTCAAACTGTTGTACAAACAGCTGTTCAACAACAACAAACAACAACTGATCATTGTGTTAGACTTCAACATCAACATCATGCGCAAACATCAAGTATTATTATTAATATTGCACCTGTAAGTATTTAATATTTTTCTTTATTCAGTATTAAATATCGTTAGATATAAATAAGTTTTGAGATTCTTCCGGTAATTTAGTTAATATATATACGAAAAACTACTTTAATAAATTTTCTCTACAGATAAAACGTGAATTTATCGTCCTATTTTCTTTTTTTCCAGGTAAATACAACAATCATCAAATGCGTATAATTTCTGTGTAAATGTGCCTATCTTCATTAATCACATATGATTATTTCTCTCTCTCTCTCTCTCTCCTTCCTATTAACATGAACGAAACAACGAACACTAAATTTATAATTAATTGCATAACAATATTCTTTTTTTTCTCCTCCGCAAAAAAAACAACATATTATTGATATAAGATATATTTATCCATGAGTAGTTTAACAGTGAAAAAAACAACTTATCATTACTATCTAAGAACGAAAGGAAAATGAGAAAAATAAGGTTTTCTTTTTTTTTGTCTTGCGTGTTTTACACATGTTTTTTTTGTACAGTGGCTTTTTTTTTTGTTTTTTCTCCTATATATATATATATACATACGCATCTAACACCCGGTTTCTTAATAAAACACATGCGCGCGCACTTTTCCTTTCGTGCATGTATATATATATATATATGATGAATAAAACCTTTGTCGTTTTTTTGTTTTGTTTTTTACTTGTTGATAAATATTTTCATTTTTTTTTCGTCTATAGCTTTTGGTCTCTTTTTTCCCCTTTCTTGTCTGTATCTGACTATTTCTTTGTTATTCTTTAACCAACAACATACTTGTCTGTTTTTTTTTTGTTTTGTAGCGACGCCTTCTCTTTTCGGTTTCTCTTTTTTTTCTCTCTTCCAAAAATTGTGTTTGTTCGTGTTTTTTCTTCTTTTTTTTTATTTCGAATATAACCGAGAAAAAGAAAATGACTAGTGAATAATATTCATTCAGAATTAGACGTAATGGGACTGTAGACTTACGTATAAAAAGGTGAAAGATTTAATTAAATATTATGTAATTAATTATTTCTCTTTTAGATAATTCTGTTCTTTGTTTTTTGTTGTTCTTTATTAATATGACTAGAAAAAGTTCATCAGCTGCATCATCACCAGCAGCTTCAGTTGATAATGTTAGTTCAGCGGGTCGATTTGTTTGTTCAATGTGTTCAAAAGTATATCGATCCGGTGCCGGATTACGATATCATAAACGGAAACGACATCGTGGTAAGTTAGTCTTATCCTAAAATGAAGGATTGTTTTAATTAACTATAACAAAATATTGTTAAAAAAAAACGATTATAAATAGATAAGACTTGAAACTATTTTATTGTCTCTTGTTATTTTCTGTTGGCGAAGGCATGGTTGAACCAACTGCACTTCACCGAGTTAAATGCCAAGAACTCGGTTGTACATATCAAATGTTGGCAATCTCTGATCTTCGGTAAGAAGAAAAAAAAAAGCCAAATAATATAAGCATTGTTATTTATTGATTAATTATTGTTTTGAAATAAATAGTATGTTGCCATTTTGTTTTGATTAACTTCTCATATAAATCTGCATTCACTATTTTAAAGAGTAAACATGTACGTCATCATAAATCACTCCACTTGGTGTTTTTTTTTCAAGTTAAAATGACATTGGACGTTTTCTTTGTCATAAAAGTTCAATTTATCACTGTAATAAAAAATATTTTATGATTAATAGGTTTTTGCTTTTAATATCAATTTGATTTAATGATCTAATGTTATGATGCTATTCTAACATCGAAGTTAGAAAGACAACAACAATCATATGAAAATCTATTTTGTCATTTTAAAGTTTCTGATCATGGAAGAAAGAATTATGTTGTTATTCTTCCGAATGAAAAAGCACGCATAAAAAACCGGAAAAATAATTATGTATTCAATAGCCGTATTGAAAGCCATATTAGATAACAGAAATCAGTTACTAACGCATTTTTTTTTAATGAAACACGATCTCAAATGAGTGTTGAAGTATAGGAATAAAAATGTGAACCCCCTACAGATCGTGACAGAAGTTAATATACCATCACAAACTATATATCAATAACATCTCGTTATAATATATATGAACTACTTCTCCTGATGTTATTAGCAAGAGTAACTACATCGTATTTCACATTTTAATCTTGCAGGAATTGTATCAACAACTTTTTTTCTTACGAGAGAATTTATGTTTTATCTTTACATTTAGAAATCATCTTTCAAATCATCATCAAAAACCTGAATATAAATGTACAGAAGAAAAAAAATTCACAAGTGTAGCAGGTAATAATACATTTCTAAATTATTATTATTATCATCTATTTCGATTTAAAAAAGATTTTACCGAATGGAAATTATCATTTGAAACTAGTACTGGTTCAAAATATGTTAAAAATTGTGGTGCCAAAGGTAAATCAGACAATCAAACAACAGAATATTATTATTGTAATCGTACGGGACCGTGTGAGTGATATCAAATAAAAAAAAATTTTCTTTGAAAAAAATTGCAACAATTTAAGATAAAACAGTTGGACAAGGTTTACGTCGTAATAAAGCTCAAGGTTCATTACGTGGTGGAATTCATTGTACATCATCAATGAAAGTTGAAATACAAAATGATGAACATATTACTGTTCAATATTATCCAGCTCATTATGGTCATTCAAATTTACCAGCATCTGATGAACCACAACATTTATCTGAAAATAGTACAACTATAACCGGTGCTAATATTCATCCTCAACAGCAACATCGTCATCAACAACAACAACAACAGCAACAACAACAACAACAACAACAACATCATCCTCGTCATCATCAACAAGATAATTCACAACATGGTGGTGATCGTTCATCATCATCATCACCAGGTTCATCATCAACAAGTCCATCAGGTGGTTCAAATTCAAATTCAAATCATCCACCAATGAATATTGAAAGACAATCAATAACAACAACAAATTCTTTTCTAAAAAATACTAATATTAATACTAGTAATAATAATAATAATAATTCAATACAAAATCAAATGTCTCATTGTATAATAATATCACCATCATTTATGGTTGAAGAAAATCTTTCTACACATTCAAATCATCATCATACACCGGTGTTTGTTGTTCAACAACATTTACCAACATCATCGAATGGTATTATTAGTCCTCCGACAAATTTACCAATTAAAAAAGAAAAATGTGTATCAGATATAATGCATGAAGCATTTCAATTATTATCTTATTGGCCATTGGATCATCATCATGGTTTAGTTACATCAGAGAATGACCAACAAATAACCCATTCTCGTCTTAATATGGATGAACATCTTATGTTCTAAGTCTGTTGTTTTGCTTTTTTTTTACTTTTTTTTCTCAAGTGTGATCAATTGAATACGTCCTTTTTCTTGTTTATTGAAAACAGTGCTTGTACTTTGATCAACATTGAACAAAGTCTCCTTTTGAGACATATACAATCATGGTTTTTTTCATTCCTTTATTATTACTTTGTTTTTTTTTCTTTTGTGGGTATTTCTTTTGTTTTTTGTTCTTGCTGTGCTTGCCACGCACATATACCGATAACTATTCTTTATTACACATACAAAACAAGAGATATTTCTTTATCTTGTTATCTTTTCCATGCGCACATATGCACACGGTTTCATTCTTTTTGGTCTTGTTTATCCTTGTTTTGTTACGAAAAAACAAAATTCGAACAATATAGAAATATATAAATATATTTATATGTATATATTAAAGAGATTTCATAATGATGTTGGATATTGGTTATACAATAAAAGTTCGTAATTATCAATTTATTTCCAGATATTATTCTATAATGTCGAACAATTTTATTCATGATTTTTTTTTCTTCAGTTGTTGTTCATATTTGATCATAATCCAAAAAGTGTCAATATTAATAAATAAACAATGAATGTCATAGTAAAAACTCATTTAGCACAAATTGAAATCTATCAAGTATCGAATTTATTGAATGAATTCATACAAAAACATTCCATTAAATCGAACTTCATTGATCATTCATTTTCTTTTAATGAAAGAAACATAAACTAAATGCAGAAAAAAAACCAACAAGATTTTAATATCTATATCTATATTGTGAGTTATATACTTAATGAAGATCTTCTACAAGTTAATAAAATATGTATTGATCTAAAAGATAAAAAAAAAAAGACAAGGTATTCTCTACCAGGTGATTAGTTTTTTCCTTATCGATAATACTTCTTGATCTATGTACATAGTTAATCTTTATAATACTCAAGATTATCACAAACACATGTATTTGAATTCTGACGAAGGATATACAAGAAAAAAAACCTGACTAGCTCAAAATAAAATACATGTTTCGTATAAATAAGTAAATAAAATTAATTAGGATTTTTTTTTTGTTTTTTAATTCGATAAATTATTGTCATGATTTTTGTTAAATATTTTTTGTTTTGTAATAGAAAATTAGTTAATTTTCAATGATCATAATAATCATTTGTGTATATATATTTTAGAAATATCATAATAAAGAATAATAACATGGATTCTGTGCCATATACTGAACAACACAATACTTTAACAATGAATGTTGATACAGGCAGTGTAGAAAGTAAATGAAAATTATTGATTCTTTGAACTATTTAACACAATGGATTTTTTCTTGTTTTGCTGATTTATAAGATGTCAGAAATGCGAAATTAAAATAGAAGTTTTCTTTTCTTTTCTTTATATATGGTTAGATAGAGCGTGATGAACGGATCAAGAATATGTGTATTTTCAATTTCTTTTGAAATGTTATTTTTAGGGGAAAACTTTCAGATGATCTCCTTGGCCTGAAAAATACGTCACTGTTTGATCACTGACAAATTTTCAATTTTTTTTTTGTCATTTTCGTTACATTTCAAAACTGAATTTAGAATTAATGAGTTTTCTAAATTCAGTTTTGAAATGTAAAGGAAATGAAAAAATTGAAAATTTGTCAGTGATCGATTAGCGACCTGTTTTTTGAGAACAAACAAACTATCTGAAAGTTTTTTCTTAAACTATCATTTTAAACATATTCTTGTTCAGTTTATCATGCTCTATCTAACCCTATATAAAGAAAAGAAAACGTCTACTTTAACATTTTGCATTTTCGGATAAATAAAATTATGTATGAATCATAATCAATTTTGCATTTGTTCGTTTAAAATAGATATTGTTGATCTTCTACATGAATGTAATCTACAAGTTTTTAATGGTTATGAAAATCATGAAGTAAATACTTATTATTTGTTTATTTCATTCAAAAGAAAGTTAATTTAGGGTTTATCTGATGAGCAATTTTTGAATAAACTCGATCGACTTGTTACACTTGTGAGAGAAATTTTACAAGTATGATAAATTTTTTATTTCAATGAACTTTTCATGTTGAAATTAATAAGTTATTTAGAATGAAAAAGGTATTATTGTAATCAGTGGATGTGGTACATCAGGTCGAATAGGTTTTCTTGCCAGTGTAAGTCTGTGAAAGTGAACATGAAAATTCTCAATTATAAAGTCTATATTTTATTATTATTATTCCTATCTAGACATTTTTTAATCAACTTTGTATTGAACGAAATCTTCCTCCAAAATATCGTTATATTATTGCTGGTGGAAATAGGTAAAACTATTTGTTTTTAGACTTTTAATTTATTAATTCATTTTTATTATTTTTAGTGCTCTTGTTACATCTGTAGAAGCAAGTGAAGATGATCCAGTTATAGGTGCTACAGAACTTAAAAAAATTAGTGAATCATTTGAACATGTTCTTTTTATTGGTATTACTTGTGGTGTATCTGCACCATTTGTTGGTGGTCAATTAGAATATTGTTTGGATAATCTACAAAAATTTACACCTGTTCTAATTGGTTTTAATCCTGTTTCAATGGCACGACGAATTCATGTACCTAAATGGCCTAATGGTAGAACATTTTATGATATTGCATTACGAATGGAAAAAACATCAGAAGCAATAGTTCTCAATCCAATTATTGGACCTGAACCTATATCTGGTTCATCAAGAATGAAAGGTGGTACAGCAACAAAAATTATTCTTGATACAATTTTCTATTTGGCATCGACTAATAATAGTATTAAAACAAGAGATGTGATTGAAGAATTCAAAACTACAATTGATAGAATGAAAACTGAAAGAATGAAATTAGCAACTGTTGTTCAACAAGCAGGAGATTGGTAAGAAAATTATATTTGAATTAAACAAACAAACATATATTTTAATTAGATAATCTCAATGACAGATGGAAGAAATAGGGAAATTAAGCGAAGAAATTGGTTCTCCTCTGAAAATTAAATCTTTTATTTTTCGGATAGTTATTTCAGATGCCAGGAGTCGAACGCCATTCGAATTAGACAATTAGGTCTCATTCTGACCGCCCGCATCTAGTTCAAAAACTAATAGTAGTCTATCCTATATCGATTCATGATATGCAATGTTTCCATGAAAAGTTTTCTTCTAGTCTTCAACTTGTGTAACTTAAATTATGTATCAAATAAAAGCTCTTGCTTTTCTCTATCGAATGACCTATAGAAGTATGACAAAGATTGTTTTTTTTCGTATTTATTTTAGATACCGCTGTTTACTCGTATGTGCAGTATGTATGAGGATAGCCACAGTACAATTTTCCTTCTATTGACCTTTGAAAGCACTGACTACTGTTAATTATACATCATTCGACAGCGCCTTGAAAGTTCTGCAAAGTTGTTCTATTGCGTTGAACCTAATTTTTGAAGAAGAGACTTTATCCAACAATGGTCGTGAGATTCAAAAGTTATCTGTTTTAAAATAATATTTAATTGGTTCCAGTGGCAGATCTAGCCGTTCGGCGCTTTCGGCGATCGAACTTTCAATGCGATTACGCCACATAAAACTTATCACGTGATTTAATCCTTCCCTAACCAACATAGAAGCCTCACAAAGATGATTCCATTCGCGCTGACCTATACTTCTTACTGCTTCAAAAAAAGATAGCTCCCCTCACTTTGGCAGAATCCTAGATCCGCCACTGATTGGTTTTGGTTAGAATAATTAAGCTTCCCATCGAAACAGATGCTATATTTGAACTCAGCATAGAATACTGAATCGATCGATATATGTCATAAAATCTTCCAACAATTTTGTATTTTCGTCTGAAAATTTATACCAGATCCGTTTCAGGGTTACATCGAAAAATAACGGCAGCCAAAACGTCAACTTGGTTGTAAAAAGCCACTTTCAAATTAAAAAAAAGGCTAGGAAAGTCTAAAATAACAGATGAATAAATGATAGAAGTGATATTTTGACTGACTTTATCTTTCAACGTAATTCTAAGGGGATCAGTAGTAACATTTTGGACTAAAATAAAAGTTACCGGAAGATTTTTCGACATGTATAGATTGGCTTGGCTCTCTATGCTAGTTGCAAATATATCATCTGTTGCGATAAGACGTCTAATTATTCTGGCTAAAATCTGTCAAGTACCAGTCAAAAAGGATAACTTTTGGCACTCATGACTATTATGCTCTTAAGTAAAATATCTCACTCACAAAATAAACACAACAATATCTTTTTCTGGAAGTTTGAGAAACCTATCGAATAATATGTTATTCAAAGTGAATCGCTGTTTTGCATAGTTCGATAGGAGAAGGATTTTACCATAGCTGATCTCATATTGCATATAGGAGTAAACAGCGTCATCCAAAAGAAATAAGGAAGAGAAGAATATTTTGTCATACTACTACATATGATTTTCATAGAAAAATTACATAATATCGAGTTTTGAGTCAAATGCGCGTGCCAGAATTAGATATAATTCGAATGGTATTCGACTCCTGACATCTGAATTGATTGTTCGAAAAATAAGAAACTCAACTTCGAGGAGAGGCCAATTTCATCGCTTAATACTCCCTTCCTTTTTGAAGTTTGTTTCGTTAAATTTTATTGTTAATACTTGGGGTTATTCAAAAGTAGTGACGGAGGTTCTTTTTTTTCTTATCGAAAGCTTGAAAAAATTGTCTTTTTTTATGAATAGATAGAGCGTCTTTCGCTCTATCTTTCTTTGCTATTTGACCACTATTAAACTAATATCATAATAATAAAATTTCGATAAGAGCTATTTTTGTTGAAAACCAGCTGGTAACATTTAGATCATAATGGGTGTGGTATAAAAAATGGGACACTTTTGCATTTCATTTTATTATTACTCCATACGTTGTATTAAAAAAAAAAAAAATATACCACAAGATGCAGCGTGAAAAGCTCTATAATTTATAAAGCACCGCTTATTTTATAGTTTTACTTTTTGTTCTAAAAATGGACAAAACTCTGAGTTACCAAATTTCGACGTGACGAAAACGAGACCTTTTTTTGATAAAAAAAACGAATTCGGTCTTTTTCTATCTTATCTTTGTATAGTTGTTCTTTGTAAATTGTAGAGCTCTTTACGTTGCATCTTGCAGTGTATTTTGCTTTTTAAAATAAAACATATCAAGTAATGAAAAGATAAGATAGGAAAAACGGAATTCATCTTTTACCAAAAAAACAATCTTGTTTTCGCAACGTTGAAATTTGATAGCTCAGAGTTTTGTCCATTTTTAGAACAAAAAGTACACCTATAAAATAAGCGGTACTTTATAAATTGTAGAGCTTTTCACGCTGCATCTTCTGGTATATTTCGTTTTTTCAATACAACATATTATGTGATAATAAAGTGGAATGCAAAAATACCACACTCATTATGAACTAAATGTTACCAGCTGGTTTTCAACAAAAATAGCTCGTATCGAAATTTTATTATTATGATATTAGTTTAATAGTGGTCAAATAGCAAAGAAAGATAGAGCGAAAGACGCTCTATCTATTCATAAAAAAAGAAAATTTTTTCAAGCTTTCTATAAGAAAAAAAAGAACCTCTGTCACTACTTTTGGATAACCCTATGTATAATGAAATACATGCATGTTTTAGTCTATTGAATGATTCATATATTCGATATGTTGGTTCATCGACATTTGGTGTTTGGGGTATGATTGATGCATCTGAATGTGTACCAACTTATAATTCTTGTTCGTATTTATTTTCATAAATTCATATTGATTTTATAACTTTATTCTTAATAGCTTACAATGATATTCGTGGTTTTATGGCAAATGATTATTTCAAAAAGAATTTAAATCCTGAACCAGTTAATTCATTTGTAAGCAAAAAAAAATTTCTACTTTGAATTTATTCTTTTTTTTTGCAATAGGTATCACCTGCATTACATGAATCAACACCTGATGATTTATGGAAAATATTCGAAAATTTACCATCATCAAGTTTAATCATTTTTATTGATACAGGTAGTATATAAATGTAAACTATAGTATTTTCAAACAGATTTCATCATTTGATTTTATTTATTTTCGAAATTATAGAATATGATTCACAAAAATCTCTTATCGACAAACTTCAAAAGAAAAAACATCGTATTGTTTGGATCAAGCTTTTGAGTGCTAAATCCTTAGAACCAGTTAGACTATGTGTTTTTTTTTGATCTAGTCTTAATGAATAATATTTTTTATGTAGAATTCCAATGTGCAAATCATTGATTTTAGTACATCTATAACATCTTCTGATATGACTGTGCAATATTGTCTTGCTGAAATAGTATTAAAATTATGTTTAAATACAATATCAACTGGTGCACATATTTTAAAAGGAAAAGTTTATCAAAATATAATGATTGATGTTCGTGTTAGGTATGTTGACTTTTATTTGGTTTTTGTTGTTTTTTTTCTCGTCTATATTAAATAATTTAGTAATATAAAATTATTCTATCGTGCAATTGATATTATTAAAGTAAATTATTATATGATTTATAATAGACAAAAGAAATTTTCTGTTTTTTATATAGTTATTATCTGGTGTTGATTATCAAACGGCTGAAAAATGTCTTATTCAATCAATTCATCAAACAGATAATGAATTAAATAAACAAACAATCGAACAGCATATTACAGCTGTTGCTAGCAATAAAGATCATGTAAATATGTTTTTGATTCAATCTATTTTTTTTTGTATGTAATTAATGTTATTGTACTTTTTTAGATCGTTCCTATTGCTTTATTAATGTGTCTTTCAAACTGTTCGTATACACAAGCTACACATCAAATTGATAAATGTCCAAGAATTCGAGATATTTGTACTAACACAAATCGATCGTCAACATAATTTTAGTTTTTTAGTTTTTTTTTTCAATCATATTTCATAATGAATAAGAAAATTGCATTGATGGGTTTCCTACTAATAATGAATAATAAACAAATATATAGAAATATGCAATATGCTTTGATGAAAATTTATGCATTCTATATCTCATTAGATTTGCCTATATTCGTGCTTTTCATTGATAGGATATAAAAATATTGTTGATGTCATATGTTTTTCACAGAACAAAAAACTCATTCATCTATAAGCAATCTAGGCTATGAATTAATGTAATATATTTCTTGCAGACAGTCGTGGATATAAGAAGAAAATCAGTACGTATGTGAACTAGTAAAATATATTTGTCATTAGTATATAGAAATTCCAGTAACGTTTGAAAATAGCAAGTTAATATTGAAATTTCTCTCAAAATTTGCTAGAAATTACTTTCTCATATGTTGGTAATTTCGAAAATTTTCTTTTTCTCAAGTCTGAACATATCTTAATGTGACAATGATGGTTTTTTATTTATCAATACATTTACTGACTTTCTTCAAATGATTGAACTTGCAATCACTGACTGTTAAAAATAGTCTGTAAATTGCATAAATTACAGATATAGAATTAATTCGATACCAGCAGATAATTTAGTGAAATTCTACGTGACTATTCACACTAAACTGGTACTACATGTAAACATGTCGCACCGTAACTGTTTTCGAATTACATATGCCATTTTAAGCTGTCAAGTCAGTGCAACTTCAGACATTAGAAGGCAATGCCTTTTGAAAATTTAGAAAACTCTCATCGAATGTTAACGCCATTCGAATATAAAACTAAAGTTCACACTTTTTGAAGTGAGATTTTTTACTTTTAAAATAAATTGCTTACAATGACAAACATACATCTCATCAACAAGAACCGTACAATAAAACCTGTTAAATGATGATTATGGTTGCTCATTTTTCACATTGGATTCTACGAAAAGTGGGCTGAAACTACGCCAATTTCCTGGAATTTCTAATACATGTATATAATTACACGAAACTTCTAGTAATATTGGTGAATATATTCCATCTGATTTGCTTGCTGGTTCCAATTTTAAAGTTAGTATTCTTTCATGTACGGATTCATCGGCAAATTTTCTATCGAATGTCAATATTATTGAAGTTAACTGTTCAGATAGATCAACTCTCTTTTTAAAGCATTAACTGGTCAAGATGATGTTATTTCTGCTGTTGATGCATGTGACTACAGAAAAAAGCATCGAAAAAAGGACAAGAAGAATGGACACAGGGTAACTTTTTGTATGCTTATATCGCATTTATTCTAGGATTGGCATATAATGGTAAAGGTGCGTGTGATTTTGAAGATAAGATAAATAATAAAGATCTAGGATTAGAAAAAGTCTCATTGGAACAAATCGTTAATAAAGCTATTCAACGAAATTAAACTCTTGCTCACTAACTGATATTTTTTTTTATGTATATCACATAGAAATTTTTGTCATTCTTCATATTAGTATATATAGTTACACGGAATAAATCATATTATATTAAATATAAAGTAGAAAATTTAATTGTTGATATTGCAATAACTTAGATAAGGTATAAGTTTATTATTGGATCATATTCATAGTCGATCACGAATATATGTCTTGAATAAGCTTCAGAAAATGATAATTTATTTGCTTGCTACTTCAAGTCAAACGAGATGAAATTTTCACCTATTCTTATAGAAATCTTTATCGATATGTAAATAGCTATATTGAGATTGAGTCTTAATGAGATCATAGGAACACATAAGTAACACTAAAAAAAGACTTCGTCAATTATCTATTAAAAAGAAATCCAATACTTAAAAACATTAATTATAGTTTTTTTGTAATGAGATGCGGCATAGGAACTTGAGTTCATTGTACTTATGATTCAATTTTTAGCTTTTAAACAAGAAACGAGAAGTAAGTCGAATTTTTCGTATTATCTAGAGTCGATGTTGCTGTATTTTTTTTTTACAAAGTCGATGAAAAATTCCAGTCAGTCATGAGTTTTGAAGATGAATTTAATTCGCTTTGAAAATAATATACTTTTTCAACTGTAATATAATGGGCAGTTAGCCTCACTTCTTCTCTATTGATCTATACAAGGCTGAGATCAATAACTGTTTGCATTCAAAAGATATAAAAATTTCCCTGAAGGCTACTCACCAAATTTTTTCAAAATCTGAGAAGATAACAAATATTTTCTTCTACAAGTTTTTAGTTGCCTTCAACTTCATGAGATGATTTATTAACTTTCGAAGGTTTTTGTCTATTAAAAACGTCATCAGAAACCATACATTAAATGTTGATGTGTGGATGTGGGTGTGAATGATGGTTTTTTCTTCAGCCACGATCACACCCACATCCCTTTATCAATGAGATATTGTACCTGAAATCCTACAGTATTAGCTTGGATCAATATGAAAACATACATAGGTGATAGAAACACGAAATTTACTTTAACTGAAATGAGCGAATTGGCATAAGAATGGATTTATAGTTTATGTATGACGGTAGCAACCAGTTACATCAGTCATGTCAAATAATATGAGACAACATTTAAAAAGTCGATATTTATGTAGAAGGAATCGAAGAAGAACTAAATGATCATGATGTTGATTCTAGCATCTGCAGTACAGATGATACTGATGATTAATGACTTTTATTTACGTAAACATGTTAAAATTCTTTTCGGTTGACCAAATTGAGTTGAAAGACTTTTTGCGATGTAAACGGTTTTTGACGACGTTTTTAATTTAAAAAACAAAACTTTCGAAGGTTAATAAATCATCTCATGATTAACTCTGAAATGAACGCTCGTACATTTGTAACAAATAATACATACCTTTGATTTTAATGTCAACCTATCATTACTTGTTTTTCAAGAAAAGAAAAAAAAATACAAGCATTCAAACATTTTTTTTTTCTCTTTTCTTATATTTCTAATCATTTCTTTGTAAATGTAATTAGTGACTTCAATTGATTGTTTAAACAATAACAATATTTCACAAATTTTGTGTTTGTACAATATAACAATAAAGAAAAAAAACATGATGACTGAAAACGAACATAAAATATCCATATTAGAATCTGAAATATTTCATGCTATTCAAAATTCTCAATATCAACGACTTGCATTATATATTCGTCATAATTATAATTTAAATGTTACATCAAAAGATGGTCGTAATGGTTTATTCTATGCATTAGATATAAATGATTCACATAAACGTTGTCGTATGCTTAGATTTTGTTTAGATCATGGAATTAATCCATTACATAAAGATAACATTAATGGTTATACTGTATTACATGAAGCTATGGCTCGACAACAAATCGATTCATTTGAACTTCTCTTTGATGAGATTAGTGGTGAAATAGATTGGTGTTCATTAGATACACATGGACGTACGATTTTACATCAAGCAGTTGAATTAAATAATGTTGTAATACTTCAAACACTTATAACAACTATGAATCGTTATAGTATATCTGTTGATTTATTAGATAAAAATGGTTTAACACCATATTTACTTGCTATAAAACTTCATCTACCTAATATGGCGCAATTACTATTAAAAAAAGGTCATGCAAGTCAACAAAAATGTGATTTACAAACACATCATAGTGCTCGTGAATGGGAAAATATTGGTATGAAAGAAAATTGTTTAATTTTACGTCAAAAATTTCGAGAAGAATTGAATGATGCTATGAAAAAAGGAAAAATAAATAAAGTTAATAAATTAAAACAAATGTATTATTCAACATATTCATTATCATTAAATAGTAATAATAATATACGTCGTAATTCAAGTTTAACAATGACAACAAGATCAGGTTTAAATAGAAAATCATCATTATCAATTAATGAAATGATTGATCGATTATATCAAGGTGATATACCACAAACATATATTAATAGTAGAAAAGATGAAAAAACTTTTCATTTTGAACATATTCTACCAAGATCTCTTCCACCTATAACAAATTTAAAACGACATCAACAAAATACTTCAGCAACTTCTCTTATTGATTTATTTCAGATACCTCAATTATCGTCATGAATATTTTTTGATTTAATTAATATGCCAAAAAATAAATTTCAATGAACTAACTTCATAGTCCATTAGTCTAGAGAAAACTGCGGACTTCAACAGGTATTTAAAAGAAAAAAAAGAAATGATGACTTCAAACTTGAAGTATCTCTGTTGTTTTCCTTTTGTACATTAGCTAGTATAATATAATAAATGTTCTTGAAACATTGCACTATCAAAGAGACAAAAAAGAAAAAGAAATGAGTTTTATTTTTTAAGTACAATTACATAAAAGAAAAAAAAAACGATAAACTATTATCCAAGAAATGGATACCATCTTTGATGAGTTTGTCGAGCATATTCAAGCATTTTCTGCCAATCAGATTCATAACGTGTACGTTCACCGAGAATAATTGAACTTGAAGAAATAAATGAATTATCTTTTGAATTAAATTCAACATGTACATATACAGAATGTATATCATTTTGTGGAATATTTTCTGTAATAGTATCTTTTATTTCATAATCAATCAATGATGAATCATTGAGAGTAAGTGGAATTTTCTTTTGAAAAAAACGACGGCCATTATGAAACAATGTTATTGTTAGACGAACATCTATTGGAAGAGAATATAAATTCTTGCATGTAAATTGAAAATATAATTGCAAATAATATATAGAACTCTGTACAACTATTTTCTTAATTTATTCTTACAAACACAGAAGAATTCTAACATGTATAAATCAATTTTGTTATTCATTTGATTATGATTTTGAGACTATTTGTATACTCAACTGAATAATTCTTTAAAAATCATCTATCGATAGATTAACCAATCTCTATCAATATCTTGGCATAATATCCAAAGAAAAATAAATTATATAGAACAATATTCTTTACATACCAATTTTCTTTTCTTTGTCTATTTTACAAAAATAACGTAATTTATTAATATTAATTGTAAATCGTTCTGATGTTGGAAGATAACTTATACCAAGAAATATTTCTCCAAAATTAATCTATAATAACGAAAAACAAAAATTTCATTTTTATTTTAAATCAAACAAAAGAAAAAACAATATTTTATCCGAACTTGTGGAAGATTTTTAAATTCAATTATTTGTTGATATTTAGGTATCATTGATGGATTTAAACGAATCAATGCTTCAAACATTAAATCTTGAAAACCTGATCGATCTGCACAAAATAATAAAAATCGAAGTGTTGTTAATGTTATATCATTTCTATTGAATTGAAATTGTATATCTTGATCACATAATAATGTATCATTTGATGTTCGTGATAAATTTCTAAAAAAAAATAAAAGAATAAAATCAATTTTATAAAAATCAAAAAAAAAATAAATATATAACTAACTTCGTTGTTTTTTCTTGTTGTTTTTTCCATATATTTAATGGTAAACTTGATCGATGTTTTTTTCGTTCATCAGAAAATTTTTTTAATGTGTTATTATTTAATAATTGTATACGAATAAAATATTCTGTTTGTTCATCAAATATTGGATGACGTAAAAAATTTTCACCATTAGTTAAATGAATTTTAAGTAAATTTTCGATTATATTAATTTCAATTTCAACATTTATTTGAGCATATGGACCTAATGGATATGTATTAGTTATAGTTGCAAGTGTATCAGTATTTGATAATGATGAACGAGCTGATCGAGTACGACGAGTATTTTCATTTAATGATGCAAGATAATCATTATTCTAATAAAAAATAAGTAGTTTTGAGAAAACTGACTAACGGAGAAAATGCATACATCGCATGACTTACTACCATCGGTGTCAGATACAGTTCCATTGGAAGATTTTCTTACTAAATATAAATATGGACTCTTAGATAATTTATTAAAATCTAGAATATCATCAGCTTTAACAATTGATTCATAGCTTGGTGGTGATGATGGGATTACAGCTATATTTTTTCTTGATATTGTATTTATCAAATTATGTTGTTCTGTATCTTAATTGAAATACAAATAAAAAACAAAAATTCTCAAAATTTTGTTTTCTATAGTATTTATTTAATAATATACTTACTTAATTTATTTTTTGAACAATATTTTCGTCTTAAAGAAGATCGAAAACAAACAAGACAAAGTAAAATACAACCAACAATTGAAACAAATGCTGCAACAATAAATACAATTAATAAACGTTCAAAGGATGTTAATGGTCTTTGCCATGGAAGAATATAACTTAATCGATCAAGATAGTCTTCTTCTTGTGTATTATTAATCATATTTATATCACTCATTGGATGAAAATTTTTTCACATACTTTGTATTACCGATTCTTGTCGAAATATTTTTCTTCTGCTATTCGATTATACAAGTGAAAAGGGAACAGCTGCATGAAATGCAAAAAAATTATTTTTGATCCAAAACAGAAAAAAAACAAGCTTTTTTTTTTCGTTTTTGTCATTGCAATAATGATACTATTACTTTTGCTTGTCTATTTCGAGAAATTGAATCACCAATCACAGAACACATATCATGTGTCACAGCTGGATATTCTTTTTCTTTTGTTATGCCTAATGAAGACGTTTGATTGTTGTTACCAGGGTTTTCGATTGGGTTTTTTAGAGTAGATGGAGCTTAAAATTCAGTAGAAATTGAAGAGAAGATGCGTGATATTCAATCTGAGAGAGAGAACATCTTCATATGAATATCTATCAGAAGCAAAGCTAAAACTGCTAAAATTCCTTTTCTGTCACGATTTCACACAAAACTAAAAAATTTTACCATAAACTTCGAAATTTTCGGAAATAGAGAGTGCTCGCGATAACCAGTAATCCTAGTTTCTACTGTATAAATAAAAGAACGTATATTGATATTTTTAATAGTGAATGATTAATCATTGTTTTTTTTAATCTTAAAATTTAATCTTGATAACAAAAAAAAAATGAAATAAGGATACACAGACATATTTGTATATACATATATAGAGCTTAAATTTAAAACGAAAAGAAAATAGTCTTATTCAATCACCGAGAATCATTTTTGTATTTTTCATTTTTATGATTCTCGTAATTTTGCTAATCGTTGAGTAAGTTCGTCCTAAAAGAAATTAAAAAAAAACAGACAAAATACATAAAATAAAATAAATTTCGTAAGATAAAAATCTTACTTGTTCAGTCCTAGCAGCGGCTGCTACTGTTGAAGGTGCACTTGGAATATTAAGATTAAGTTCAATTCCTGCTTCATCAGCCATTTCTTGCATAAGGTTAGCAACTTGATCAACTGGTTGTTGAACTGATGTTGCATTTTGCATAGCATCGTCCATAACTTTTGTTTTAACTTCAAGATCTTCAAAATTTTTTTCTAAACTATCCATTAATTTCGAAGTTTCAGTTAATGGCATATTTGCTGTGACTTTCGACATTAATGCAACTGTTTGTTTAAGACTTGCTGCCATCTATAGAAATAAAAATACATGTTAGAGCAATCCTCGTGTGATTCAAAATGTGAAACATGATGTAGCTGCTGTTGCTTATCACAAGGAAATTATTTCATAGAGTATTAATTAAACTTTAATTAGTATTTAAAGAAATCTTGTTATAAAGAGTTATTTCAAAACAAAAATACAGTCCTATTCAATTGTTTATGCTCTTTCCAACAGTATACTTGAAGATGAAAATTTATAACAAAATATTTCTCCAGTTAGTCTTTAATAAAAATTATTATAACGAATAATTTTTCAAAAGTTTTCAAGACTCTCTTATCCTCAAAAAGATCACTTTTCGTCAGAATGATCGGAATTAAGATAAATGCAGGAAAAGGTAGTCAGTGATCTAATCTCTCATAAATGACAAAAAGTTTTACTCGACACTTCGTTTTTTCTCGTTTTATAGGTTTTCGATTGCATCTTCAAGAATTCTCGAAGGAGCTTCATTATAGCCAATAATTTTTTTTGTTTGAAAGAGTGTGTAAAACTGCAGTGCCTATGAGAGCCCGTTTTTTGATTAACCTTTGCTTTTAGTATATATACAAACATTTATATAATTAGTGTGCTATTTTTAGAGAGCTTTTTTGAGTCATTGAACTTTCGATCTCTTTTTTTTCCCTTAAAAGGTGAAAGTTTAAAAAAGAGCTCTCATAGACACCGCATTTTGACATGCTCTTTCAAACAGAAAAATAATATTAAATGTATAGACTGAAGACCACAGAGAATTTTTTGCAGACGAAATGTGCTATTTTTAACCCTTGTTCAGTCAATGTCTTCCTCAAACGTCATGATACAGAGCTGAAAATTTCATGCCATTCGAGCGTTCCTGGTCTGAGATCGATTTTTGAGGGATGGTCTTAATACAATAATATAGCCTGTTTAATTCTAAATTTTGATAATAATATAATCACCAAAATACTAATTGTCTTAAACTTTTGCCTGCTAGAGAAAAATTGAAGTTGCTTATTTTTCTTCAGGTTACAATCAATAAGATCAAGCATAGGTAGTTTCCGTAGGCTTTGGCTCTAACTTTATGTGGTACTCAAAATATATCTTTCACCTTCTTTCTTTTCATAGAAAACAGAAGTATAAAGTGCCTTAAACTTTTGCAGTCCACTTTAGTTAATATATTATAACAAGATTTTATTGATATACGATCTGTGAAAGTCCAAATTTTTACCCCTATACACTTCAACAGTTTTTTTTAGATCGTGTTTCACAAAAATTTTCGAAATTTACTTGTCGTTGTGCAGCTGAATTAGCTACACGTGCTTGTACACCATCAACACGAGCTGCCATTCGTTTACAATTTAATGATTCACTATGATGTCGAATGGCATTTTCTGCATGAATTTTTCCTGCTTCAATATTTCCTTTCATTAATGCTTTTTTAACTTTATCACGTTCAATTTTTTCCTGTTTATCATGTGAAATTGCTTGTCTTTCAAGCATCTTTGTTTGCATTTTGAATTGAAATGCCAATTTATCTATTAAATAAATAAAATTCACATAGAATTTAAATGATATAAAGAACATACCCGACATATTGTTATAGTTAATCTATTAATGTTTAATATATAATATCTAAAATTTAAAATAAAAAATAAATATTCTTTATTCTATGCTAGAGATTATTACCATCTGACAACACCAACATAAACAAAAAAAGCATAAAAATAGAATGTGTGTATAAATATATATACAGGGGTATCTCGATGAATGCCAGATTTCTAAAGGGAAGATTGAACTTTTTTTTACTTGGAATTAGTGAGCAAAATAAACCGAACAATAGAATTTTGGAGAAAAACGGAAATCTTTCAAGATTGGGAAGAGAAGATGCTCACCCCTGTATATATATCGGAATCAAAGATGCTTAGCGTAAGAAAAGAAATAAGCCAATCAAACTAACAGCAATACAAGTCATAGAGAAAAAGAACATTTTGTTTAAATGATCGATATCATAAGTTGAATCCATAAAAGCCATACTGTCCTAAAATAAATAGTCAATGAAATTCTCAAATTCAAATCAGATAAGATACATAAAAAAATGTAAAAATATCTCGATCTTGCCAAATGAAATATTCTTTTTTTTGTTTTTCATTCGTTTTTGTTGAGGAAGTTAAAGAATTTTTCAAAGTCAAAGTCATAATATTTTGTTAGTAATCATTAGTATGAACTACTTCGAATAATCAAAGAAGCATTTCTCTACAAAATAAAATTCTTACTCACGAAGGAAATCTCATCAAATGATAAATCGCTTTTACGATAAGCTTTAACTCATTCGATACATCCTATTGAGAGTAGAGAAAAACTAAAAGGATTACAGAGTGGCTCAAAAGTAACGAAACTCAGAATTGTTTCGATTTCTTCTTTGTACATGGTTAATTATGATTCATATTTACGCCACATATACTAGGTAATATTAGTAGAAAAAAATGTAGCATATACTCAGTTTTTTGATGCATTGGGATATATTTTTTCATCGTCCTTTTACTTAGTCTTTCAAAATTGTAATGATGACGTAGTTCATATAACGAGACGTTATTGATATATAGTGAAGGACATAAGTTTAAAGTAGTGAAATGTTTGAATAGCTGAAAGGATTTCTTATTTGTGAACTTGCAAAACTCCAATAAAACTGTTTGAAAAACCAAGATCTTCAACACTAGTTTTCTAGCATCATTTTGAAGCTGTTTCTGAAGTGGTTTTATTTCCTAGAGCAAAATGTGATGTCTCGGCTCTCTTCATCGAACTGTATTTAATTTATAGAAGATCCTAAAGCGTTAAACACGGCAAAATCATCGAAATTTCTTTTGCTCTATTAAATAAAACCATTTTCAAAAACATTTCAAATAGATACCAGAAAACTAGTTTTAAAAGTCTTAGTTTTTCGGATATTCTTATTCAAGCAGGTTTTTTTTTGTAATTTTTAGGTCTACCAATCCTATATCAACAGAATCTCTGATGTATCTATGATTATATCTGTAACTGTATGGGGATGCAAATTTCTATCCTATGTGCTTTCACACTTATTTTAGATCGTATTTTACAAAAATATCTCAAAAGCGATTTATCATTTGACAAGATTTCCTTATTAATTCTTTGTCGTATATCATCTCACATCAAGATTTTGAATAAAAGTCATGTTGGCTAGTAGAAAGTTAGAAAAAATTTCATCTAATAACTTTTTTACTTGATGATCGCTCAAACTCAAAACATTTTGAGTTTTTGTTTAAATTCTTTTGTGAAATATCTATAAAATTTCTATAATTAATTTATTTTTTCAAATTTACCCATCCTCCATGATCTTTAATCCAAATTGTTAATCGTTTAACAATATATTGTCCAGTAACATGTGCAATTCGATCTGATATATCGTTATGTTTTCTAGCAATAAATGTACTAAATGCTAATATAGTAATAATTTTTCCCCAACTAATATTATCATTTTGTATTAAATAATTAAAAATCGTTGTTAAATCATGACATAATAAATCATCAATTATATCTTGACGATTTTTTTCATCTTTATTAATTTTTATTGATAATGAATCAAGTTTACGAAGCATACCAGTAAATAAAATTTCATGACGATGTATTAAACGATCAACATGTTCTTTTATTCGTTTATAATTTTGATTTTTTGATGAAATTTGACAAATAAGTGCAACAACAACTTCCATTGTTTCAGCTTGTATACGACCTTCATCATGTTCATCAAAATATAACATGAAAATGACTTATAATCAATTCTAAAATGAGTGATATATACTTATATGCGTCAGTTTACATTATGATTCATTAGTCTGATAAATATAATTATGAATCATTTTAAAATCTTTATATTTTAGAATAATAACAAATAGATTAAGCAAAATTTTGAATAAACAAATAAAAATTCTTCTCAAAACAAAGTCATAAAATTATTTATATTAGATAGATGGATATAGAATCGCTTTAAAAACAATATTTAGATTGGTTGAATAAGAACAAATGGATTTTCAAGGCATTTACTAGAAAACAACAAGCAAATGCAGTTAGTAATTAAATTCAACTTGTTTTGACAAGAAAATAAATGTATTATATGCACTTTGAAGGAAAAAAAACCTACTTTCGGTAAAATAACTAGAATTTATTTGATCTATAAAACTGTTAAGTGAAATTTTAAATTGAATAGAATAGATTTCATATCGAAATTTATTGTGACGAGACGTTTTTTTTAGTGATAATGATAACAAGGATGATTTGATGAAATTTCTTTTGTCATTGTTCTATCCAATAAAATTTATGTAATTTTATATAATTTGGTAAGGTCACTCTGCCTTCTTCCAAAAAATTGATTTTCCTAAAAAAAAAAAGATACTTTTTGAGATAAACATATAAGCATGTCTCTTAACGTGTATAAATTAAATATTCATAAAAATGAATTCTAATCGTAAAAGACTATTTTGTGAATTCATGATGACTTTCTAGAGCACTCGAGCGAAAAGGCTTATATCTAAATTCATAGGATAATTATAAATGCGATTATACTCATTGCCAACAATCATGGTTCAACTTGTAGTTAGAAGGCCACTCGATAAGAAGTAAGTGAAACATAATATAATCATATTTGATTTCGATGTCAGAAAGTTCTTCAGATCAATATAAAAAAATTGTTTGTCCATATAGCTCATTCTACTGAACTATGGTTTGTGCTATTCAATAGAAATGTTGTCTAAGATTTTTTGTAGCTTTAAAGCTTTGAGGATCCTAAAAATGAAATAAAATAAAAACATTTTCTCCTCATTCGAAGTAGTAAAGAATCCTTGAAAGTTCTATTTTGCACATTGGTTCTTTGAAGTCTTCTAAATAGTAAGATTTTAAAGCATGAAATTGTTTTTAGTGATGTATTTTTCATTAGCCGAATGTCTTCAGGAAATTTCACACATTTTATCGAAAGTTAATTTTGAAATGAGATCGGGACGACTTTAATTGCATAGTGTTCTTGTTTGATTTTGCTTGATTGAAAATTTAAAGTAGTATTTTTGATATGTCAATCACTGTTTGAAGAAAAATTGTGAATTAATTTAAATAAACTTTTAATGAATTTTTTTCATTATTTAATATTGAAAATATTATTTGTATCTATTTTTGATATTTGAGAAGGATAATAGACTCTAAAACTTCCTTGTAATTCATTCAAATTAAATACTTACAGAATCCAAGTTGTTTAATTATCTATTTGTACTACGGACAATAAAGTTTGATAATAAATACTTTACATTACATTAAAAAAAAAGATATCTATTTTAGGATTAATTATCAATAGAACTGATTTTTATATCAATCAATTTCTTTATTGTAATGTACTTCTTAAATTTCATAGATAAAAAAAAATGAAAGAAAGGTTTTTTTGTGTCGATTGAAAAACGACGATAAAAATTTTGTAAGAAGGGTTAATGTAAGTTGAGCAAGTTCATTAGTCCATACAAAAAAAAACATTTCCATTGAAAATATTAATCGTTCGTAAAATAAATACTAATTCATTGAAGCACGCAAGTTTCTTTTTTTTTAATTCTATTCTAATAATTTCAAGCGAACGACAAAATGAATCAACTGTTTAGAATAAATTTTTATAACTTTCAAACAATTTTTTTTACTAATATTTGATTCAATAGAAAAATTTAGCGATTATTGAGATGAGTGGAATTATTTTTTTTTAATTGATCATCGTCTTTCATCATAAATTTGTTATGACTCAAATATTCAAACAGCAGATTTTTCTTTTTCTTAGTCTCTGAATAAATGATTGATCTTCTATAAAAACCTTAATTTTATCGAATTGAATCAACTTTATTGCTACTAAATCCTATATTCACACATATAATATGAAAAGATTAAGTTGCATGGACTCATATTTATTTTTTTGCACTGACTGTAACTTTTTTTTTCTTCAATTAAATAGAAGTAAGAGAACGAAAAAGAAAAGCAATTAAAGGTGTATAACATATTGCATAAATAGAAATATGTATATATATATATATATATATGTGAAAAAAAAACATCATAAAATATTGATTCTAACTGTCAAAACCAACCAGTAGAGAAAGAAAACAACATGTCAAAACCTTTAACACGAACATATTCTCTTCGAAAACATATTCGACCAATAATTGAGATTGATGAACAAGATGATGATCAACGACGAGATTCATATGGTCGAAAACGTGTAGATGTTGTCCAATGTTTATTAGATTCATCATCTGATGAAATTGATGATTATAATATGAATATTGAAAAACCACGTAATATTCTTTGGTTAACATTTAATGAAATTTGTCATATACGTTATGTTCTTGTTCAAACATCTTTATGTATGGATAAACAATATTTACAAATTCGTAATGGTCGTATTTGTTTTCGATGTCGAAAAGATATTAATGAATTCTTTTTTTTACCATCATTTCTTCGTTTCAACAATCATGAACGTTGTTTTATTTGTCAACAGATCATATGTAAAAAATGTTCATATTTAAATTTTGTACCTCCTTCTTTGAAACTTTTGATTCCTATTCGAATACGAACTTTAATTAAATCATCATCAACTACTATTGAAAACAACAATAAAAAAATGAATAAATTAACTCCACAATCAAAAACACTCTGCTATGATTGTTTACAGGTAAAAGTAAATAGTAATGTTTATATTATTGATAAAATAAAAGAATTAATTTGTAAAATCAAGTTTTGACATCATCGATATGCGAGTGAACTTACTAATGTCGAGTATCCCACCAAACTAGTCTATAATAGTTGAACTCAACTAGAAGCTTTTCATTGGACATAACTCAACTAGCTAAACTTTGAGTTCATCATTAAAATTTTGGTTGTACCAAGAAAAGTTTTATTATGTATAAATTCAACCTTCATTTGTTAATTATAGCTATTCAAGGAACATAGACAAACTTCTCAACATCGTATAAAACCATCCATTCCTCCACTTCATCGAACATATTCATTACCACCTATATCACATAAAAATTCTGTTGAAACTCAATATACACGTCATCGCCGTCGTCCACATCAGATAACTAATTGTAAATTTGAAAAAACTACTATAATAACAACATCATTTAGAACTGATATTTAATTCTTATCAATGTATCACTAGTTTTATTTTATATATAATAATAAATCATCAAGGTTAATATAAAGGGATATTCACATAGAAATAAATACAACGAAAAAGAAAGAAAAAAAAATGTTAACAATTTATGGACTATTTCTGCGTGCTATATTTCCTAGAGAGAAAAAAAATTAGATAAAACATAAATAAATAAAAATGTTTTAACATACGTTACAGCTTTGGTACCTTCTGATACCGCATGTTTTGCAAGTTCACCAGGCAACAAAAGTCGAACGGCTGTTTGAATTTCACGTGATGATATTGTTTGACGTTTATTATATTGTGTTAATCGTGAAGCTTCACTCGCAATACGTTCTAGTAATAAAAGAAAAATTTATCTAATTTTTGAAAATTAAAAATTCAACAAAAATATCTTACCGAAAATATCCTTAACAAAACTGTTCATAATCGACATAGCTTTACTCGATATACCGGTATCGGGATGAACCTAATTTAATAATAAATTAATTTGTTTATTTATTTTTTTTTGTAAAAATTAATTTTTTACTTGTTTCAAAACTTTATAAATGTAAATTGAATATGTTTCTTTACCTATTTAAAATATCAAATAAATAATTCATAACAAAAAAAAAGTTTCATACTCACGTTTTCGTTTGTTGCCTTTCTTTTCAGCAGTAGCACTTGATTTACTAGCACTAGCTTTTGTTTGTTTACTAATCATTTTTGAACCTTTACTTGGTGTTTTAGGAGGCATGTTGTATTTTATGAGATAAGATGTAAAATCTGTCCTTTATATAGACACATAGATATAGATATCATTGGTTAAAGAACGAAAAAGAAGAAAAACTTCTAGAGGTTAAATGAAATAAATTTCATTGACTTAAAGTTAGCTGATGATGTAACTTGTAAATGATTCGACGACAGTAACGAATAAAATTTAAAAAAAGTTGTACCATTAATGCGCTAATATAAAAACAACAAAAAACCCACGAATATTTATCATTTTAAAGGAAGAAGAGAAATGTCTGGCCGTGGCAAAGTTTCAGGAAGTGGTAAAGCTCGTGCGAAAGCTAAAACACGCTCGTCAAGAGCTGGTCTTCAATTTCCAGTGGTATGTTGTTGAAATTAAAAGACTATCATATGAAGATTTTCTATAGGGTCGTATTCATCGTTTACTTCGTCATGGAAATTTTGCTGAACGTATCGGTGGTGGAGCTCCAATTTATTTAGCTGCAGTGAGTGGAATAATAATCCATAGATGTTTTACAGTGTTTCATTGTTTTGTTATGGTGACATTAAAATGAGTGTTTCGCATTACAAAAAATTGTTGCATTTTCTGATATTGCATCATCTCAGAAGATAAGACACTGGAACACCCAACTTTTGAATGTTTCCACATCTTTACTATAAAGCACCTATTAAAGGAATATCGGTCTTTTTGTTTTCTTTTTGTATAATTTATTTGAATAGGTTCTTGAATATCTTTCGGCGGAAATTCTTGAATTAGCTGGTAATGCAGCACGTGATAATAAAAAAACTCGTATTATACCACGTCATCTTCAATTAGCTATACGAAATGATGAAGAACTTAATACATTACTATCGGGAGTGACAATTTCACAAGGTGGTGTTTTGCCAAACATTCCAGAAGTAAAGAAAATTCATTAGATAATTAATTTAAAATTAAATTTTCATATAGGCCTTGTTACCTAAGAGAACAACTGAAGGTGGTAGTTCATCAACAACGCAAAATGATTCATCAAAAAGAACTTCGTCAAAATCGAGTGGTGAAAACAAATCATCATAAACTGATGATATCAATAATGAATTTTTTCGTTTTTTTTTGCTTGATTGTGATTTTTTAGTTTTTTTTTGTATATAAACTTGAAGAATGCATCTATACATATTTTTAATCAGAAACTAAATTATTGCACAATAAATTTCCTTTGGAAATAACGAAGGATTGATATTATAATATCAAGCTAATAATTCGACAAGTTCAATATTTGTTCGTTTGTCATATAACAAAAAATATTCTTTATAAATTGATTTGTTTCGAATGCTAAAAAGAAAAAGCTTGCGATACTCGATATTCCCACAAACAGTTGTCCACTCAAGTACTAACCGAGTTCGATGTTGCTTACCCTCAATGATCGGATGAGAACTGGTGTATTTAACGTGGTATAGACGTACTCTAAAATGTCAAATTTTCTGTCAAACTGGTTATTTTCATTATTTATGTACATTTCAATAGTTTGTTTTAATTTCTTGTCAAAAATCAAATGTCTCAATATAAAAAAACAAAAATGAATTGTTCGATCAAACACTTTGGAGCACAGACATGATTTCGAAGATTTTTGGATTGATTGGTTTTTAATTTGTTTTGTTTGAGCAGAATATTAAAATGTTTTTCATTTTCAGTTATTAATAAACCTGTTTGTTTAAGTTGAAGGGTGATGTTACACGTTCCATTGATCTCGTTTAAATCATGAAATATTCGTTGTTGTGTAACAACACACGAACGACGATTTATCAATGATTTGTTATGATGTTTTTTCATTGTCAGATTATTATTAACGTTATTTATAATAATAGAATTTGTGGACAAATTAACAATTATAATAAAGTAGTCTTCGCTAAATTAATTTCTTATTTTGTAGAATATTTTCCAATTTTTTTTGCTGAATCAGTTCGTTGTCTTTCTTAATTTGTTTTCATTCAGCATGTAGTAGTTTATATGCATTCTAAAGAGAGTCAGATATTAGATTTTTTACTTCTTATCAGATGGAAAATTATGAATGTCGATCATCGAAAAAATCGATATCTCATAAAGGAAACGCATGATAGTTTTCAGGATTTATCACAAAACGCTTTTTCCGAAAAGCTACTTACGTTTTTCTCGAATGAGTCTTTTATTGTCGCGATAAATTAGCAAATCTATGTTTTGAGCAATCAACTGATTGAAGCATAAAAGCAATTGAATAGCACATATGACAAAATTCATGACTACAAGAACTCTATCAACGCGTACCAACATGTTTCTAAAGAACGCTGTTGATTGATCGTTTATTTATCTATTTGATTCATTATTGATAATCAGCTATCCTTACAAATGTAATCCATAAAATCAATTTATCGAATAGGCAGACGGCTAATTTCTTATCCTGTCTTCATTTTATTTATGCCGAAACTTAAAGAACAACGGAGTCCACGAAAAGGAAAAGGTCATTCGAGTGTGAGTGGATGTGGATATGGTTCAATAGAAATTACGCACCCACAACCACACCCAAGCGATTGGAAGACAAGGCGTTGGAGAGACAGAAAATTGAGTTTTTTCAATTATTGGATTGTAATAGATCGTTCTCAGTTAACGTAGCTTGTTTTTTCCTGAGTTTTCCATGGAGAGATAGAGAAGAGAGAGATGAATAACTTTTCTTTCAGAAGTACCATCCTAATTAGCCGTTGGAATGTGTTAAAGATTTGAGAAGTTGACTCCAGCAGAATCTGATGTAGTTATTCTATTTACCGTACGTGGAACGGCTGAAGTGTTTCTATTTATTTGATGTCAATTTTCAAATGAACGTGTAGCTCTCGGTGTGTTCCTCAACGCGTCGTCATATTTTGATCAATCATCGAGTAATTCTCAGGTTTCGTAGAAGAGTGACAGCAGAATCCACTAGATTGATTTGAACTACTTCTACAGAACAAGCGTGTTAATTCGAATTACCCGACGTGGGAAATCTCTGATCAGTGCAATGGTGCTTTCGACATGTTTTTTAATTACAACGAAATTAAGGAATATTTTCGATATTTTTACATGAATCGATAGAGAACACTTTGGATTATATGTGAACTAAAAGTCGCAATTTTTAAAGCAAAAAATGGCTGAGAAATAGCCAAGAAAAGTAAAAATTTCGATCAAATGATTCAAATTTCTCCTAACTGACTCTATCCGATAATATTTGTTTTACACACTGTTATTCTAGTAAACCAAACTCTAATTTACCGTTTCCTGAAAGCTACTCCGTTATGTGATAATTAAATATATTGGAAGTGATATCATTATTTGAGATAGATGTTCGTAGTAATTTCAAAAGGTAACGCCTTATGGCTGAGAAATATGATACGAACTATACGATCATCTTTTTGTTGCCAAGAATAGTAAACGAAAAAGCACGGAGTCGCACAGATTTTTTCTACGATGTGTGATGATTTCTATTCTTTTTTAAGAGAGCCAATCAGTACCATGTAGGCAAATAAAGAAGACAAAGCAGTACTTTTGTTCTTCACATGAATCCGACCGAAAGCGATCGATGTAGAGAGTAATACATTATTGCCTTCATACAGAAAAAAAAACAATATTTGCTTCGTGCATTGGTTTTTTAGTTTGGTCGTATCCTTATCTGCCATCGGTAGATACTTTGCTGTCTCGTTTGCTTCTACATTATTTTTCAATGTTTTTTACAGTTGTTATCAATAGGAATGGTAGATGTAACTAATCCTTTTCCTTTACTTTAATGATGTGGCATTAAAAAATTTGTTTTTACAACGTATTCTCTCAAGAAAACCGTAAATCACTTTGTTTTTCGATAATGTTCTATTATTTTCCTTGATTTTTCATTGAAAACTGATATATGAGACATACAGCGATTCATATTTCGTTCTGTGAGAGACAACTTTACATGAAGACCCATCAGTCTATTGTACTAATAGCTTCACATTGAAGCAGTGTAGAACATTGAGAGTTAGATCTTTTTTGTTATTATTATCAAGTTTTCACCTCATATTTGCGATGATTTTAGATAGAAGAGTCGCTAGCGTTGATGGGATTGCGCTTTATTTGACTTCTTCGTATCATTAATCGTATCGTTTACACTAAAAGCATGCGTCTGTACAGGCCACTAGAAGAGATAGAGAAAAGGAGGGAGAACAAAAGAAGGAGAGAAGCGTTAAAGAGAGCGAGATAGCTCACCACACATAGTTACAATGGAAAGAAGAATAGAGCATGTGATATGAAGAGATGACAAGGGAAGGTTGAATATTACGAATGATGAATCAATTCAACCAAGTAATGAGAGTAGATAATGGCGCACAATAGATTCAACTGAGAACGTCACAATATTTCTTACTATAGTCCGATCAATCAAAAGTCTGAGTTGAATTTGATTTTTTTTTACATTCATTTTTATTTCATGATGATGTGTTCTCTTGTTTTTTATGTACTACACACTGATATAGATTACTCATATATTTACGATTATAATACTCTAGTAGTCCTCTATCTATGTTATATATCTTAGATTTTTATCCTTTTGTATGTGTGCGTATATGATTTCGAGTGTAGTGATTTTTACATACAAGTATCAACTTGATTTTTATTTCTACATCAAACTTTGACTATCATATTTGTTATCTGGTACGCATACATGACGCTATATACTAATGTATTCCGAGATGATTTTTTATATTATGCTTTATTATATAACTACATATGAAGTTCACTTGTTGGCATAGCAGTTGAAATTTGTATGCCATTATACAAGAAAGAAAGCATTATATAAAAGGTTATCCCGAAATATATTAGTATATAGTGTCATGTGTGCCTGCCAGATAACAAATATGTTAAACAAGGTTTATGTACAAATGGAAATCAAATTGTAATAGTATGTGAAAATCACTACACTCGAAATCGTATATGCACACATAAGGTGCCGGCAATTCGAACTTTCAGTAAAATTTGTTTTCACGTTTTTTTCACATCATCGGATAGAGCTTGAGCTGCTGATTACGAAAAACTACTTTTAAGCCTTAGCAAATGCTTCCTTCCGGTCGAAAAATACGAAATACTTGA